CCCCAAAACCCCAAAACCCCAAAACCCCAAAACCCCGATTTTGCAAAAATTATTAAAATTTGATGAATCTTAGAGAAAATATTGCGGATTTGTCAACCAATCAAGGTAATATTTTGGACAGATTAGAACATGTCACTTCTCATGAAGTCTCTGAAGAGGAATCTGAAGATGTGTTCGATATTTCGTGTGAAGAAATTGATGAGCAGAAGTTATTTAATTGTTACAAAAATGCTACAATTTGACATGAAGAAGAGCAAAAGGCTCATGATGAGAATCAACAACCTGATAATGGCATTCCAAGCAAAGGAGGTAAAATTTCAAGTGTAGAATTTCTCTATTTGAAGATCTTAATGGTGTTTCTTACATCTTCTGTTACTTTTCAGTTTGATTTATTTTTACTAATTATTATCTAGAAGTTTGAAGTATCAGTTCAGACCTTGAATGGGTCGATATTTCACTAGAGAATCGGAAAGATTCTTCTAAAATATCAGAGAAAGATGACTCTTTTGATATAAAAGGTAAGAATTTGAATTAAATCATTGAATATTCTGATATTCTATAGTCTTCAATCAACCAGTCCATCCTTCTGATATCATCAAGAAAGATAAGATCCAAGTGACCCCTTTCAGGGCTAATTCTTGCTTGGAATCTAGTGGCTTAAAGAACAATTGTCAGGACTCTTTAAAGCTCGACAAAAATAAGGTCTCGGATCCTGAGTGAAAGCAATTTAATGGAGATGTAGACCTATTTCTGAGTATATACTGCTCCACAGCTGAAATCAATCAGACTTGCACCAAAGATATGAAGTCAAAGCGAGAGGAACTGATACATCTGCGGAAAGAGAACCAAAAATTAGAGGCACAAACAGAGGCACTCAGAAAGAATATTTTAAGTATTGAGGATCAAAGTCTGCACCTAAACTCTGAGCTAGAAGAGTCTGAGAAAGCAAATAGCAGTGAAATTGATATTCTTGAAGCTCAAATCTTGGATCTACAGGAATCCGAAAGCCGACAGAGCTCCTTGCTTGAGAAAAAATCAGTGGAGATTCAGCAGTTGAACCAAAATTTGCAAGTAATCCTAAAGAAGAAGGTAGAAATATCTAACAAGGTTCACTCAGAAAAGAAATCTAGAGCTCTTCTAAATTCTCAATTTGTTAAGACAAATGAAAAATTAGAAGTTTGCTATGATCAGAAGAGAGGGATTCTGAGAACCCTCAAGAGAATTCAGGAACAAAGAGACCGGATTGTAGCCGAGCTTGAGCAGTATAAATCTAAATGCACAGATCTCCAAAGCAAACTTGACTCTACTCAAACTGAATTTTTCACTGCCAACAAGACAAACAGCCAAGTATTAGAGCTGCGGTCAAGTAAGGCCCTCTTAAAACTCGCTCTTGAAAACAAGTCTAAACAGCTTGCCACTCTTCAGGATCAATACATTGCATTAAAGAAGAGTCAAAGGCATAGACTAAATGTCTTAAACTACCAAAAAGCTATTAATCCAGCTAAAAGCTACCACTCAGGCCAATCTACTAAACCCAACTGAAAAGATACCCCAAAGAACCCCTGCTTCAAAAGCTCTCTCCAAAAAGCCCTGGACGAAGTCACCACCGATAACCAGAACAAATCCAAAATGATCCACCAACTCAAGCATGAACTCAGCACCTTAAATCCTAACAAAAAGGTAAAATTTTCAGTTAAAAATTCCAAATTCTGTTAAAAATTTAGAAATTTCCCTAAATTTCAGTCAAATTCCCAATAAAATTTCTCTGTTAAAAACTCCACTGGATTTCAGTAATACAGCTTTATGAAGGCTGCCAACTACGCTGGGGGCTAAGCCGAAAATAGAATTTTGAGGTTCAAAAGTGTAATTTTGTGTGTATTTTTAAAGGGAATTTTGAGATAGGATGTAGTGGTAAGATTATGATTTTGTTAAGGAGAGGGGGGTGAGAAGGTTTGGAGGAATTTTGGGGTGGAAGGTGTGGAAGGATGGTAGAGTGGTAGTGGGGAGAGTTGGAAATGGGTTTAGGGTATAGAAATAGGTCTGTTATTAATGATTTATGAGTGAATGTAAGATTTTAATAGCAAAAATAGATTCCAAGAGTTATGGATGCTTGGCCTTCGGGAACCCCTAATCATATCCAAGATGATCAAGAGAAGGGGAGAAGGCAAATTCAGAGTGAAAATAGTGGAAGTCAGATAGAAAGGCCGTCACAAGGCATCTATTTTAGCAAGTTTAGAGAATCTACAAGAACAACCGAGTCTAGGTCTATGCTCTCAAAACAACAGGAGTATTTACACACTAGCACTTTTGGGTATTCTAGGGAAAGTAATCCCCACAAAGTGGACTCTCACCATGATCTTAGCCAAACTGAAGTGCAGAACCCGGAAATTTATGAAGAAGAAAAGATAAAAGATCAGACCACAGTGAAAGAGTCACTTAGCGATACTTGACTGAAGGAAGAAATCATGAAAGAGCTTAGAAATGCTCATAGTAAACTTGACCATCTCTACCAGAATGTCTTGTACCAAGAATCTACTCCTCAAAAAAGAAGGGAAAGATTCAAAGTAGCTGCTTTGAGATGCAAGAAATTACGCCATATTGGCCCATTCCAATATGGTACAACACCAAAGAAGGTTTACCATTATGGAAGACATCAGAGATACTCAAGAATGAGAAGAATATCTAAAGTAACCCAGTTCTCACCGCCAAAGAAGCAAGTGAATCATTCTGTTTATCATGAATACCCTCTTGAGCATAGTTCTGGTCTCAGGATCTTAGACCAGCCGATAATCAGACGTAACTGAAATATGAGAGGCAGTAGGAGCTTCGACAGACTTCATTACTAACAACTTGATTTTATAAGACTCAATTATGAGTAAGGAAAGGGGTTTTGGGGTTTTGGGGTTTTGGGG